CAGCATTCTCATGTACCCCCATTAGAGCACACCGCCGCTACTCACCGCCCACGGGAGTGATACTGCTGCACCGACCAGAAGGGAGTTGTACCCTGCTCTTTGCTCTGCACAGGACCCGTGAACTGGCGGGCTCAAAATCCAAGCTGACATCTGTCGCCGTGACCGTCCGTCAGTGATCCGTTGCCTCCAACGGAAGGTGCTCTGCCTCCTGGAAGCAGACGAGATTTAACAGTGACGTGGGGAATTCCGCGCTCACAGAGTCATTGGCGGGCTGGATGGCGGACACCCGTCTGAGCTCCCAGGAGCAGCTCCGAGCCCCCAGGACCGCCGTGCCCCACGTGTTCGGGGCGGCTTCCACTTCATAGCAAGAAACCGAGTGGTCCAGAGGCTGCTGCCCCCTTCACTCACCGTACAGCCACGCTCCCCACTCTGCTCTGAGCCCCAAAGCTGCCACCGCTGCTTCAGAAAGGGACAGAACCCAGCACCTGCTGCCTCCCAGAACCACGACAGCTCTGCTGTGACCCACAAAAGCCAAATGGTGTCCCGGCTCCCCTCTCCGCATCCACCTAGCTCCACTGCTGATCAGAGTCCTCCTGAGCGTATGTGAGTTGAGGGACCTGAATCCTAGGTAGAACCCTAAACTGCAAAGGAGGCGGGGACATTGACCTTGTGGTTTTCCAGCTTCTGCACAGTGGAGTGGGCTTGCAATGGGCACTGAGCAAGTGGCCCCACCGTACCTGCCACACACAGCACCTTTCTTCAGTCCAGCAAGAATAAATCAGACACATTGATCAAAAGTTGGTAGCACGATAGGAAAGGTTCCCGAACATTGGCGTGCCGCTGCGTTCCCAGCCTGCCGGTCTCGGAGCTGCTCCGGAGGGCGTGGCGGTGGAAATGGGAAACCAAGCACTTGAACTGGACTTTCCAATTGTAAGTGACAGTGATGCTAGACTCTGAGCTCAGATGGGAGTTAGGACAGAAATGCCTGTCTTACGACTTTTGGCCAGAGAGAAAAGTGTCTTCGGAAGAGCTGCCAGCCATGAAGTGTTTTCTAGAATCACTGCCATCAACCTGGCCTGGAGCAGTGTTTTGCAGATGGATCATCTGCTCCCTGCGGTTGTCAGTCCTGACGAGGCATCTGCCTGTCAGAGATCCGCAAAAACGTTGAACGGGTCCCACAGTGGCCTGCTGCAGCCACTGGTGACCTCATTCAAGAAAGGCCACACCCTGGCCAGCGTGGCTCAGTTCATTGGAGCGTTGTCTCAGAAACCGGACGGCTGTGGGTTCAACTCTCAGTCAGAGCACATTTCTGGGTTGCAGGTTAGGTCCCCAGTTGGGGCACATACAAGAGGCAACCGATCAGTGTCTCTCTCTCACATCGGTGTTTCTCTCCTTCTCTCCCCCTCCCTTCCCCTCTCTGAAATCAATAAGCACATCCTTGGGTGAGGATAAAAGAAAGGAAGACCAAATTGACCAGGCTTCGTCTCCTGGTTCCAAATGACTCTCTCTCTCCTGGCTTTGGCATTCACATAGTCACTGTCCATCCAACCACTGTTTACTGAGCACGTCTACGTGCTAGGCACTGGGGACACACCGTGGGCAAGACCGTGGGGGTCCTGCTGCCATGGAGCTGATGTTCTGGTGGGTGGGGGCAGACTGTTCCAGCAGGAAAATGCACAACTGGGAAGCGTTGCGTTGTCCTGAATGCTGTGGGGGAGGAGGGGTACAGGACAGGGAGTGGCCATGTGCGGGAGGGGGCAGTTTAGATTTGGGGACAGAGGGAATTTGTCCTCCCAGTGTCCGCTAAAGCAGATGTGGGTTTGAAGATAGGCGATAACGATGATCTGGGCTTGGACTGAAGTGGTTCTCAGCCCCTGGGCTGAGCAAGGCGTCTTGTACAACAGAGTGGGCGTGGCTCCTGGCAGGTTCCCGGTTCCTCTAGGAGACGGACTGAAGGGGGGGGGGGCGCGGCATGATGCCTGCCTTGTCCATGGAGCCGGAACTGAGACCTTGCTGCCTCTCAGTCAGGCCACTCTGCTGCACGTGGGGGGTCTACCTGCCAGCATTCGAGATGAATCAGGGCTACAGCTGTGTTCCTCTGGCCTGCTTCTCGCTGCAGCGTTGGGCCCCAGCAGGCCTGGCCTTGCCACCGCAGACGCTCACCCCTGCGGCCCCACCCCCAGCTGTCCATGACTGCTGTTGCTCCCCCGTGGCCATCAGCGGAGGGCTCACTGGGGACCGGGGCCACGTTTTGCATCACTGTCCTCCGTTTAGACTCTCAACACTAACACTCAGGGTGCACTGAGGGCTTGGGAATCACAACAGAGGAGGAGAAAACTAGGAACTGTGGCTTCTGACGGCTGTCCCCGGTCTAATTAAAACCCCATGCATGCCCTCACAGGTGCCCTGATTTCTTCTCCGCAGGCCCACTCCCCCGCTACCCCTGTCCCCTGAAGCACCTCCACACCACGTCAGCTTTCTTCCGGCAGCATTCTGGCAGCTTTATCCTGGAGCCTTGTGAAGTCCGTCTCGCATTATTTGATCTTTTGTTTTGAGAGGTTCTTGTTCTTTCATTTTCTTGAGAAAACAAAGCTTTTATGTTGTTCATCTGATCCCTGTTAAAAATCTTCTGATCTGCACCCCTCACCTGCCTTTGCAAAGCCTATTTCCTAGGTCCTGTGCTAGTTTATTCCTGCCTGTTCATCTTTGAATCGGAGCGGTTCCGCCTGGGTCTGTGCATGCCTGGTAATGACCGGGGCCAGCTCGCCTGGAGCCCGTTCCCTGTTTGTCTGAGCAACAGTGAATCTCTTTCAGTCCCTGCGCTGGAGCTCTGGCCTGGACACTTCCCGGGCGGTGGAAGGATGCAGGGGCTGTGGCAACGGGCCATCTGACTGTGCTCTCTCCCCAGGCTTCCCCCTGATCTGGAGGGTCCCCTGTGCCTGTGGTGTGTGTGACCCACAGCAGGGCTTTCCTTGAATTTTCAGCTGTCCCCACAACCCTCACTTTAGGCCAGACAGGCCTCTCCAAAGGGGGCCTCGGTCAGTGTGATTTTCCAACTCAGGGGCCTGTTTTTAGGAGGTTCAAATAGGCCTCTGGTTAGTATCGTTCAAGAGTTCAAACAGCTCCTAAGATAGAGTTTTTCTTCTCTCCTTCAGCCTTGCTCAGGTTAGGCCACAACCTCCGTGTTAGGAAGCTGGGGCCCTGGGAGGAAAGAGGAAGCAGCAGGAGCCCCTGCCCAGCCTCAGCCAGCGGGCAGGCCTCGAGAGCGAGCTTGCTCATTTCCCTGCTGCGCCAGAGGCAGAGCTCGGGGTTCGCTTTCAGTTCGTCCACCCTTCCTTGCGTGCACAGATCTTCAGAGTTACAGCGCGGAGGTTGCCATTCTCTTGTTTCAACAGGTCTCCTTCGAATATTGGGCAATTTTTGGTTATTTTCACGGGTTCGGAAGAGTTGTCCAAATGAGCACTTATGCCGCCAGCTTTCCTAGAAGTTCTTCAACTGCTGACTGTTTTAAATAGCCAGACAATTAAGATAAAACATGCCAGAAGATTAGAGGACTTGGGCATTTTTTAAATTAGGAAGTTAAGACTAGGAGAGATAACTGAAATGAGTGAAAGGATTAAAATTAACAGTGATGAACAGTTAGAAAATGAAGCTAAAGAATTAGATGAAAGTGCCAAAAAAGACCTTAGAAACTAGGAGTAAAGTTATGGCAAAAAGATAAAATTAATGATGGGAAGGGTTTTAAAGAACTAGCATTTAAGTATTTTAAAACAAAATTTAAAGCTTAAAGGGCTAAAACAGAAATTATCTTAGTAATTCAAGATTAAAATAAAATAAAAGATAGAACGTAAGCTGTCAGAGGGGAGGGGAGTTAGGGGGCCAGATGAAAAAGGTGAAGGGATTAAGAAAAAACAAACCCAAGCAAACCACACGCTCATGGACACAGACAGCAGCGTGGTGAGGACACGAGCGATGGGCGGGGGATAGAAAGAGGATAAAGGGGGTAAACGGTGGTAGGAGGAGACTTGGAGTGACGACCACACAATACAAGGTGCAGATGACGTGTTACAGAATTGTACACCTGAAACTATATAATTTTATTAACCACTGTCACCCCAATCAATAAAAATAAGTTACAAAGAAGACATTATAAAGAGTTCCTTTTTATTTTCATTTTCCATTTTCAAGTCACTGGGTCTTGTTTGCTTGTCTGTCTGTCACTTGAGGGAAAGGTGAGTCAAGAGCCCACTTATTGGCTCAGAAGGTAATTCCAGCCCGGGAGCAGGTTGCCTACCTCTTCCCAGCAAAGCAGCCCCCCTGCCCCCCCCCCGCCCCCCGCCACCTTTCTACCTTCCTTGCTGGGTCCTCGAAGAAGGGAGCAGGCAGGCTTCAGGGATGCATGTCTCAGTTTGTTCCCACAAACAATCCATGCATTAATTCAGCAAGCACCCACTGCTTACCTACTCTCTGCCCGTCCTCTAGAAATGTGGGTTTGGTCCTCTTTGTCTACAGTGTTGTTGCCAGTGTATGTCCTTCTCGTGGCTTTTCTGGGAAACTTCAGTGGGAAAGTAGGCACAATCTCAGCTCCCCTAGACCAACGCAGTGATGGGCATGAGGTCCCCCCACTAGTCATTCCCCCGAAGCACTCCAGATGTAGCTGTCCCTCCTTCCTGGATGAATGCTGCCCTTTCCTCAATGAGTCTGTTGTGGTTTAGATGCTCACTGTCCTCCTTGTCCCCTGGTCCCCACTGACCTCACAGCATGGATGATGTCACTCGTTGCTGAAGGACGAGGTAGAGTGTGGACAGTGCCTTCCTGCCCCCAGCATGCTCGGGCATCACTTCCTGCAGTAAAGGCGTGATGGACGCTCGGCGGGACCCCTGGGCCCTTAACTGGTGAATGGGGCTGGCCTCTGGGTGGTGGTGCCAGCGTCGGCCAGTGACTGGCCCGCATGTCTCCTTCTCTGTTCTCAGTGCCTTTCCCAACTCCCTCTGCTTCAGTACAGCACTCCAGCCTCCAGGCCCGCCGATGGATCCGCTGACGAAGGGGTCCTGCGGGGGTCAGGTCGCACACTCCCTTCTGTGGAAAGCAAAGTCATCTCTCTCCTTTGGCATCCAGTCCCTTCAGCCATGGCCAACAAAAGACCCTGAAGTAGAGTCCCAGGTCAACCTGTAAGTAAGTAAAAGAAACATCACCTGTTTGGCTTGTGTTCCCGTAACCTAAAATCCCTTATTGTCCAGGAAGAAAATTCCCTCTTGAGGAGAGCGTAGGAAGGGAGAAGGAGTGGACATTGAGTTGGGAGATTTCATTTTTGTTCTTAATGATGTCTTATTTATGTATTTATTGTACTTAGCAATATTTATTGAGCACCTACTCAGCCAGTCCCCCCCCCCATAATAAGCAAAATAGATTCAGTGCTTGTCGTCAGGGGATTTACAGCTCACGGGACAATGAGCCATTAGTCAAGTAACCACACAGAGAGATGCAAACTGATGGGTGATAAGTGCTATGAAACACGTTACCTCGATTCAGTAAGGATTTGCAGAATGCTTTCCATGTACCAGCAACATACTGAGGATATAAGAAAATAAAAAATTTCCTTAACCTTGAATATCAAATAGTATCTAGAGGGAGGAAATATCCAATATTATTCAAAAGTAGTAATAACAACTATCCTATAACTAATATGTTAATTCTAAGTCCCATGGGGTGGGGACTGTGTTTTCCTGTTTACTCCCAAATCCCCAGGGTTTGGTTGTGGTTGCAGTAACGTTTGTTGGATGAGTGAATGAGTGATTGAAGAAGGTAGTACAAGGCAGGGTGTGTAGCTTTCCAGGGGAATCAAAGGCAACAAGGTGCCTTAAAATCAGTGGGATGCTTCATCCATTCAATGCAACAAATATTTGTTGATGCTCAGGGTGCCCAGTGCCTTTGTGGAGCTAATTCGTACGTAGCCAAGGGCATGAAGCAAAATCGCCTGTGGGGCTTAAGAAACAACTTACGCCTGAGGCCTGTCCCCAGAGATTCTGATTCAGTGGCTCTGGAGTGGCTAAAAGAGGGCTGTTCAGGACTCTTCTCCAGCTTACAGCCTTTGCGGGAGACACAGTCACTATAGACAAACACACACCCAGTGGTGCAGGAGTAAGAAACCTGCTGGAGCACAGGGGAGAAGGGGGTAGCAGCTGAGCTTAGCCAGGCAGGAAGAGCGAAGAAGGCCACTTGAAACAGAGCAAACCGCAGAGCTAAGGGAGCCATCGGACCCATGAGAGTGTGTTCCAGCCATGTTGGTAGGCATTAAAGTGGCAGTTCTCAGCCCCGGCTGCATGTGAGAACCATCCCAGGATCTTTAAAAACATACGGGAAGCCTGCACCACTTCTTGCACCCCCCCCACCAGGATTCTGAGGTTTAGGGTTGACACAAATGCCAGTGTTTTGTAAAGCTCTCATGTGCAGCAAATGTTGAGAAAGGCCGCTTTAAAAAACATGCCCACACATCAGTTAACACAGAATATTGATGGAGCACCGTATATGCCTAGCTAAGAAGTCTGAACTTTATATGGTAGGCAATGGGGAGCCATTGGTAGCTTTTTGATGTTAAGAGATACTGCAGTTTAAGGTAGACAAGGTTTGAAGCGTCTGGATAAATTCATATTGCTAGTTCTGTCCAGTGGATTCTTCAGGGAAACTAGGGAGTCACTGCCGACTTTTCAGAGCTACCGCCACACATTCCACAAATGGCCCCAAAGTCTGTTTATGAGAATATGGGAATTGAATGTTTCCTTGATTTGAAACAAATCTAAAATTTTAGTGAATACTGAATTTTCTGAGCAAAAGGGGCTCATTTTTTAGAGGACACTGGTAACCAGAGTCCTGGGCAGCCCTGGCACACTGCAGGGGAGGAAAGACATGCCAAGGCTCCATCTGCCAAAGGTGGGGTGGGAAGAGTCCCTCTGTCTTCCTCCCAGTACCAGGCGGAGGTACAGTCCTCACAATTGTGCTGCAGGCACCGCCTTTTAGCTATAAACTACCAGCCCCACAATGCATCGCGTGGGTGATGCTGTCAAAGGGGCGAGCAGAACTGTGGCAGAGCCTATGAACAGCAAGGAAGCATCCCGTGCTGGTGTCTTCTGGACCCTATTGGTGAACCTGGCTAGGGGCGGGGCCGAGCCCTGGAGATAGGCGGTCTAATGGCTAGCAAGGCTGTCAGGAGATTGAGCCTGTAGGGATCTTGAAACTGATTCTACCAAGAGGCAGATGTTGGGTTGTACAGATGCTGGGTTCTATAGAAAACGTGCTACAGGAAGAAAGATGAGTCTTTAAAAACTGCCAGTCTGTGCTCCACTCATTCATTAACTCATTCATTCAACATTTATTGATTACTTGCATACCAGGCACTTGCGCAAACATCCTAAGCACATTTACTTAGTCTTCACACACACACTCACACAACCCGAGATGAGGTAGCTACTGTTAGCTTCGTTTTTCAGATAAGGAAGCTTAGGGACTGGAAGGTTGAGACATGTCCAGGACGAACAGCTTATAAGTGACAGCTGTGAGGGATTTGAACCTAGGTCTTTCTGGCTCCAGTGCCCACAACCTAACCTCACTGTGCTTAGCTGTGCAATGGGGAGCAAAGTGTTTATGGGATGCCAGTGTCCACAGGACGTCGTGGTGCTGTCCAGTGATGAATATAATGGTACCATACTGAACACCAATCAAGCTGACCAAGCATGAAGTTGGGCCTCGTGCCAGGAACTGTGGTGGTACGAAGACCTGTCCTCTGCCAGAGGCATCTGGTATCTCTTCAACCATTTACTGGGCATGTGCCTGCTGTGCCGAGCCTCGTGCCAGGTGCTGGGGATGCGAAGAAAACGCCTGTTTCCGGACTAAGTTGGGGATTAAGAAAGTGCTGTTCCCCAGGGCAGTCTAAGGAGATTCTCGGGGGAGGGAAGACTCGAAGGATAGGGAGTTTCCCGGGCAGAGGTGGGGGAGACCTTCCCGGACATACGTGCGCGAGTGCAGAGGCCAGCGCACTGAAGCACTTTGGGTGTCAAGGGAACCACGAACAGTCTGGTTTAGCCGGTGCTCCCTGGGGAGCGGTGAGCAGTGAATCTGGGAAGGCAGACGGAAGCCAGTTCATTGGGGGAGTGGGAGGGCTTGACTGCCCCGCTGAGAAGTGTGATCCGACTCTTTGGGGCCGGGCAGAGCACGATCAGAGTTGCCTACTGGAAAGGTCCCTGGTGTCTGTGGGCAGCTGGACTGCAGTATCAAGGCTGGTGGCCAGGAGACCTGACAAAGTGGGCAGGTACGAGACAGTAAGCAGGGGCAGTGAGGCTGATTTAAGACATATTCGAGAGGGAGATTAGAGCGTACCAGGGAAACCTACAGGTGGTGGAACGTGGAAGCTGAACCACGGAGTTTTGACTCGGGCAGCTGAAAGGTGGGTCTTGCCACTAATAAGAGGACCCTGAGAGGAGACGGCACAAAACCCAAGACGGAGTAAGACAAGTTCATTAGATATTTGCTGTCAGGGGCAAGAGGGGTCCCACTACATCTCTGGGGACAGAGGGCACTTAGGAAAGGATTTTTTGGAGAGAATGATGTGAGATGGACCTCGACAAAGGAGTAGCTCCTTCCTTTCCTTCTGTGCTTTCTCTCGAGTAGGATTTAGGAGGCAGAGACGGGGCAGCGGGGTGTCCCAGGCGGCCTGTCCCGGTTTGCCTCTTGTGTGGTGGGAAAGGCAGGTTGAGGGGCATGCTGTGAAGGATGTTGCGCTTCATCCTTGGGACCTTGGTTTTGAATGGATTTTGAGACAGGCAAGTGATGATTTGAGCTCTGCTTTTTAAAAGTTAATTTCACAGCTATACACTGTAGGGAGGCCAGGAAACCAATTAATAAATGGACTGGGAGGGGCTTGTTGATTGTAAGTGACTCAAAGTAGCATAAGCCAAAAAAGGAGCATGTAGGGGGTCATGTAACCAAACTAAGGAAAGGGACAGATGGGGCCTTTGGGGTGACCAGGTCCAAAGACTCGAATGCTGCGGTCAGCCCACTTTTCTCTCACTCCTACCACCTCCCGTCACGTAGCCCTGCTTCCAAAAGCCTTGAAAGAGTTAGTTTGCTCCTGAGTGAAGGGCCACTTTATTTTAACACACAGTGCAGGAAAGCAGGCTTTTTCATTTACTGTTAGGGGAAGTTCTACTCCCCGGTCCTCGTGTTTCTGTGAAGAAACTTCTGCTTCCCTCCTGTGGAGGAAAGGCTGGATGGCTGCCTCGTCCCCTCCCTTCTGGCCTCTCTCGCTTTTTCGGGATCTGATTTCCCACAGAGCTGTGTGATGCTTCCTCTCCCGTTTCCAGGTGGAAAAGCACACCTGAGTCTTCAGGTGCGGAGGCCCGTCTGCCTCAGTCTTCCCCTGTTGGAGACTGACAGTGGAGACTGACACAGCAAATCCCCTGGCAACCAGGCGTCTGCCCTTCCACAGAGCAGACTCTCCCGCAGGGTGGGGGCCGTTCCAGGTCTGCGCAGTGGGAGAGTGGGGAGCAGGAAGCCCCTTTGGCTCTTGGGCTCAGTTTGCTAACAAAACTCTAGCAGTGAGGAAATTGACATTTTGATTTCCACTTGCCCTGCTCCCATCACTAATTCCCGATCGATTGCAATCAGAGAAGACTGATGCACTTTGATTTATTGACAAGCTCCCAAAGCTCCAGCAACAGTGAGACAGGGGTGGGCGCTCTGTGCGGTCCGGTTAGGACAGGTTGGTTTGGTTTGGTTGGTTCTGAGTCCCTATCTGGCAAGTAGAAAGGGCTCTCTAGATATATTTGTCGATGCGAGTTAAGTGTAATAGAGCAGAGATGCCAGTCAGAATGCTTCTGCACCAAGGAAGTTCCCAGCTAAAGCAGAGAAAGCAGAAATGGAAAGAAGGAGCGAGGGACTCAGAGACATGGTGGAATTCTGCGCACGTCCTCAGGGCCAAATGGCACGGTCGAGGCTGTGCTTCGCAGCCTGGTAGTCATTCACCTAGGGAACCGGATACCTAAAATACTATGCAGCCATGAGGAAAAACACAGGAGCTCTTTGGTGCTGGTTTGGAAAGATCACCGAGATACACAAGGTGATAAAATAACAAGGACGAGGAGTAGAGTTGTGCATGGTTTGCTGCTGTTTGTGTAAA